ATGTCGAAAAAAAAAGTTATATTTATTAAAAGTAAAATTAAAAAGTAAAATCTAAGTGGTACTATGTGATATGCTATGTATCTTTTTATATTCTCATTGAAAGTCTTTTTATTTCAACATTTCAAAAAATAGTAATAGTAATTTTAATTTTTCATTAAAAATATTTTCATTCAGTCTTCCTATATTCCAACACAAGAAATAATAACTTTAATTTTTTTCAAACTACATTATAAAAATTATTACTTACAAAATTTACTTGCACAAGTATATTTCACAAATTACTTGAACGTAGTTGGTCTAACAAAATTGTTGTACCAAAAAAAATGAAATCTAAGTAATATATACTTTGTATCCATTCGAGACTCTTCTTATCTATCACAAGTGATAATAGGTTATTCAATTTTTGCTCAAAATATCGTATCAAAAAATTATGTTACCTTACTTAACTAAAATATTATAAAGGATTTAAAGAGAACAAAAAAAATTTAATTCAAATAAAAAATTTTTCACGTAAAAACATTTGGCGTTAGACTTGCAAATATAATATATGTAATATATTAAAAACAAGAATAATTTAGACCAGGCCTGTCCAATTTGAGTTCTGGAGCCAAAACGCAAAGCCATCAACGCAAAAAAATTCAATTCGTGTATAAAATTCCGGTGATGGATAAAATGTTGATTGATATGCATTTAAGTGATTTAAGATACATATTCTTTATTGTTTTCAATATTCGATTTAGCGACACTAAGTGTTTCTACGTAAAAAATTTTTTATTTAAATTAAATTTTTTTTTGTTCTATTACCTCTTTAATTCTTTATAACACTTTATAACTTTTTGATATAATATTTTGAGTGAAAATAAAACCTATTATCACTTGTGATAGATAAGAAGAGTCGCATGAGTACAAACTACATATCACTTGGATTTCATTTTTTTGGTGCAACAATTTTGTTAGACTGATTACACACGTTCAAGCAACTTGTTAAGTATACTTGTGTAAATAAATTTTGTGAGTGATAATTTTTATAATGTAAAAGAAAATTAAAGTTATTATTTCTTATGTTGGGAAGACTTTGAATGAAAATATTTTTGAAGAAGAATTAAAGTTACTATTACTATTTTTTGAGAAATTAAAATAAAAATACTTTCAATGAGTATATAAAAAGATGCATCAGAGATGTATCATATCCCAGTAAATGAGAATGGATTAAAATGGATTGAAATTTTTTTCTATGTATATTTCCGAATGTATATTTTAAATAGCAAATACTTTTTTTTTATTTTATTGGATTCAATTGGATTCAATTAGATTCAATTGGATGCAATTAGATTGAAAAACTGCATTTCCTATACAAAATTTTGAATTGAACAGTATTCACAATATGTTTATGTGTTGTTTATGTTGCACAGAAAAAGCTAAGATTATTTTTAGATTGAAAAGCATAGAGATATGCTCCATGCAATTCCTATAAATGAATAAAAATGTATTCAGGACTGAAAAGCATTCATTTTAACATTCGTGAATCAATATTTCTGAAAATCTGAATCCATTTCAATTCATTTCAATCCATTCTTGTTTGTTGGAATAATAAAGTATTACTTGAGTATAACTTTTTAATTTTACAATAAGAAACAATTGGAAACAAGACCGTTTATGTTAAATAATATTATTTTAAATACAAAGCGCCATTACGATCTGAATGTTGAGATGTTGAACTAATTTTTCGCAATACGTTTATTACAGTTTTTTAAGATTAATTTGAGAAATTTGGGGGGATTATTAATATTTCAGATTAATTGAAAGTCCGACAACCATATCGCAATTATCATTTCTGAAATTAATTCATTTATATGAATATATTAGTTCAATATCTCAACATTCAAACCGTAGTGGCGTTTCGTATTTAAAGTAATGTTTTTAATTTTATTTTTAATGAATTTTTTTTTGACACATCATTTATATTAGACTACTTTAATACTTTAATTAGATATGTTAATTAATCTCAATCTATAATGATTGCAATTATAAGTAATTAATCCTACAAAGTAGATTCAAAAATCCTACCACCACTCCCATCGTCTTATAATAATACTACGATGGCCATCTGTATTCAATGAAAATATTTTTTAAGAAAAATTAAAATTACTTTTATTTTTTTTCGGGAGGTTGAAATGAGAAGATAATAAAATGTAAACTTGATGCCAGTTGTCAATATCAAATTTTTCATACAAATGATACATACAAATCTTTTAAATGATAAATCTATATAAATGATGTATATCATTAGAGTTAAGTAAATTATATTGCATGTTTTTTACAGTAAGAAATTAACATTGCATTAATAGAATTTAACTTGGCGTCACAATTGTTGATATCAAATCATTTATATGGATCATTCTAATCATACAATATATGAATCATATGTATCTCACTAAAGTTAATTCAAAAATTTGCTACTTGGTCAAAAAAGGAACATAAAAATTTTAATTTAATAATTTCTGAATAAGAATTGAAGGTATTATTACTTGGATTAAAATAAAAAGACTTAAATTTTTAATAAAAATATTTTTAAAGAAAAATTAAAGTTACTATAATTTTTTTTTTGGTAGGTTGGAATAAGAAAGTAAAATTCAATAACTTGTCACCAGTTGTTAATTACATTTTTTAAAAATTTGATATTAGTTGCTGATACCATATCTTTTATCTTTAGTAATTTTTGAAATTAAAATTACTATTACTTTTTTTGCTATATATATATATACAAAAAGATACATAACGTATCACTTATTGTGAGTAAAAATAATATATTATTTTTGCCTTACTTTTAAAACATATGTTACATATCCCTTGGTAAAGGTAGTACCACTTGAGTTTTATGTTTTAATTTGGTACAGCAGTTCTTGCCTTCTACGCATCATTTAGGTTTTACAAATATAAATACTTCTTTTCGAAAAGCACGCACTCTTAGCGTACTTTCGTTGTGGTGGAAATAAATCGCTGAAATCGCTGAAATCTATGTTAATTGACCCATTTCAGTATGAATTATACTGAAATGAGTCAATTGACTAAATTGATATAGATTTCAGCGATTTATTTCTACCAAGGTTTCTTTATCTTTTTTTGAAAAAGATAAGTTTGTATAGTATTAAAATTATTATGACTTTCTTTTTGGATTTATTAATAAATATTACTACGATGGTCATTTGTATTCAATGAAAATATTTTTTTAAAGTTATTAGATATTACTTTTTTTTAACTGGAACAAGAAAGCAGTAGAATTTAACTTGGCGTCATTACAAATCTTTTTTACAAATGATACATATCTATAGGGTTAAGTAAATTAGAATTAATATTATTTATTTTTAATTTGGTATTAATTTTTACACAAATCAAAATGAAATCTCATAATTGATAATATACATCCCATTTTTGAATCCTGCAATGTTTGTTATGTTCTATGTGCAAGAGTCACTATTTTTATCATAGCCCCCCCCCTCTTTGGAGGACTCGATTTAAAAAAAATATTTTATTAGTGTTCATTAGAATACGAATAAAATTTCTCATAATGCTGCACTTTTTATTTTATCTTATGATGTTATGATTTTCAAATATAAGAAACTGAACTCCATCACGTCCGTCTGATGGCGATTCCGCGTATTACTAGCGAATAAGTGATAAAAAATATCAAGTTAATGGAAAGATATTTTTTTCATGTTGTTTTTTCGCCATACGAAAAGATATCTTTTAGATGACTTTTTGCTGTGAAAATGACAACCATAGAAAGATGACGAAAAGATGTCTTGTTTAAGTTATCTTTTCGACAAAACTAAAAGATGTCTTTTTCGTCTTGCTGAAAAAACAACTTAAAAACGACGTTATTTTTATCTTTTAGACATCTTCTCGCTTTGTCGAAAAAACAACTTAAAAAAGACCATTTTTCGTTATCTTTTAATATTTTGTGCTGTCTGAAAAGTTATATAGACATAGAGCCGAAAAATAAGTTATTTTTCGAATTATAACCACTTTTATGTTAAAGAAATTGTAATTTATTTTTTATAATCACAATCATAATCTATTTTATAGTATTTTAACATAAATACTACTACTATTTTGCATTTTTTCATTACCCAAGATGGCAGGATGCACCACGTGGATGCATAGTCTGCTTGACATCTCTCTTTTTGTATTCTTTTTTATTAAAAAATTTTTTTACTTTTTTACTAGAGGGATGCCAAGTGGGCTGTGTCTTCACGTGATGCATTCTGGCTAACGTCAAAATAATCCGAAATGTAGTTATTTATGTTAAAACATTTTGAAATAATAAATTATGATTGTGATTATGAAAAATAAATAATAATTTTTTTAACATAGAAGTGATTATAACTTGGACGGACTGATTTATTTCCGGACCTATGTTTATAAAGTTTTTTTTTTTTCTTTTTAAGTCCTGAATCACTTCCCAAAGTATTGTGGGCGATTTTCCAGACATCCTGTATACAGTTTCCAATATATTTACACACACATGTCTACAAAACTAATAAATCGTATAAAATTAGTATTATATTATCAATTTCTTACTCTTAATCACTTAAATAACAGCTATGCTAATTTTCGTAAGACTAGTCGTCTTTGGGAGCTTTCCAGAGTGCGTTCCAAAATTCGGCTCTATCAATTCAAGTATATCATTTTATCCTTGTTGTTCACTGAATGTTGAATAAGGATAAAAGATACTCGGAGTTGATATATCGAGTTTTGGAACGCGCCCCACAAAGGCACAAATTGACACATAAAGAATAATTTTGCTTTGTTTCTTACTGATTATCGAACAAAGACAGGATTACTCTTGCTCGAAAGAAACGGATTTCTTTTCTAATAAATTGAGATAGATAAAAATGGATAATAAGTGCGTACAGAAACAGAGAGGGGGAGGGGAGAGGAGGAGAGAGAGAGAGAGAGAGAGAGAGAGAGACGGTGAGGGAAAAAACGAAAGAGAAGGCGTGAGGAAAAGCACGACGCGACAGAGAGAGTGGGAGAGGATGGTCCAATTCCGGCGTTCCGCTCGCTGTTGTGAGAACACTGAGAACTGAGAATGAGCTGGAGACGCCGGAATCAGTTGGTAGCGGCGCGTCCTAGGCGCGAGTCGCTGAGAATGAATTGGATTAAGTACGGATCCGTAATGATGGAGGCTACATCGTCGGTCTTGATGTCGTCTCTCATACGTGTACTCGCTGTGTCTTTCGTGCTCTTGTGGCCGGTATTAAGTGAGGAGACCAGCCTGACCGGCCGTATGCGGGCAATCAGCGAGGATCTAGACAGGCAACTTAATGAGATAATGGCCTCGCAAGCGCTCAGCTATTCGACGGTGAATACCGTTGGGTTGCCTTACAACGCTACCACTAAGTTTAATCCTAAAGGCATGGGCCAGCTGTACAATGTGACGAATATATTCATCGATCTGGTGCAGAGCAAGCAGGCGTATCCGGAGGGTGAGTGCTCCTGTTCTCGAATCTCTGTCTCTTGCGAGACCCGCCGGAGACGCTAGTAAGGGGAGGGGAAAGGGAGGATTTGGGGTTAGGGCATGGCATCATATATGACGCGTCGCGCATTTTTGCCTTTCTAGGCAACGGTTACATCCTGTAATGCCAATATCGTGTCATGCGCTCGAAACATGATCGCTGTGTTGGTAAACAAAATGGACTGTCAAAGCATCGACCCAGGGATTGACAACAGAGTTTCGCCTCGTTCGTGTTTTCAATCGTGTTTTATCACCGCGATAGATTTCATCTCGCCGCCACCGTCGCGTCAGAGCAATGAATAATTGTGGAGCAAAAGCGACTTAGCAAACTGCATGCCATCGATATGAATATTTCCGTTAGACTAAAATATTTCGATAAAAATCTATGCGTGCTGGAAAGGCGTGCCGAATATATTTGTTGGTGTTGCAAGGAAAGGTTAAAAATGACGAACAGAAATGATGAAGAGACTTTTATATCGAAGATATACTTAATTTTTCGTAATTGTCTGGCCCTGAAAGGCCATCAACGAATTGCAAGAGAACTGCACTTCATTAATAAACTCTAATGCGAACCCACCTTTAAAAGCGGACGCGTTTGTCGCTCGTGCGAGATCGACGAATTACACATGAAGGTCACCAAATAAAAACTGCACGAAATCATCTGAGTCAAGCAATTTGTAATTCATGTCTTATCTTGGGTATCATATAATAATATGAAGAAATAGAATCGTGATGGGAAGAGAGAATTACAAATTAATTAACTGAAACTTTTAAAATCCCATGCAATATTGGAGCGTTTTAAAAATGAAGACGCGATAGTCTGGGTTAGCTAATTTTATCTCGGTAATTCTACTCAATTAGTTGCTTTCTTTTTAGAAGACACAATCGACACAAGTATCATTCTATCTTTGTTATTTATTGAATGCCAAGAATAGAACGATGTTTATATCGATTTTATTGATTGTATTTCCCAAAAGGAAAGCAATTTTTATCGTTCTTATCATCCTATTTATGGTGTAGGCAAAAGAAAAATTTTTATCAATTAAAATGAGTGCTAATCGAGATTATTGTAATCTAGAATTTTTGTTTCCTTATTACAGTCATATCGATTTGCGAGTTGAATTTCAAAAATAAAAAAATCGCATGCATTTTTTTGCGTCCTGTATCGAAATAAGTTTAATTTTTCATATGCCACCATGTTCATATTTAGTAGAATAAAACATACAAGGGAATCCTTTGTTTCATTATTCTATGTTTGTTAAACGCGCCGTAATAATTCAGCTGACACCGCAAAGTGTGTAAAATTATACGAATAAGTGTAAAAATCACAACAATAAAAGTTCATAGTGAAAATGTATAAGTATGATTTTATATTTGTGATTTGTATAATTTTACATACTTTTTCTACACATTTCCTGTAAAAAATACGGACTTCATGATTAATCGAAATTTATTAATCCGCGAACCGAAGACGAATCTTTGATATTTCATTAATCTTTGTTACCTAATGTAAGTGATGGCATGCGAAAAAATTTATTTATTTCAACGTATGGTAGGAAAAAAGGATTACATGTTCACATCTCATTTCTGATGTCATAATTTACTTAATGTGAGGAAAATGGCAATAGTCTTAATGATGAACGGAGGGATCACGAGTTACGATCTGGTCACAAATACGATGTACAAGCGGGAGATAATAGCATCCGTAACAAAAGCTTTATACTCGTGCATTTACAGAAATTTTATAGATCTCTAAATTACATTTAATATTGTAGTCCTTGCGCATAGAATAAAATAGAAGCAAAAAAGAATAGAAGGAAAAAAATTAGCACTACACGCGATTGCAATCGCGTCATAAGAAAAATATCAATCGCATTGTATATTCGATTAAAAGAAAAATTTATTATTTGTTTGTATAAATTTTCCAATATGTATATTATAAATTTATATCTATAAACAGCTTTTATCCACGAGTTCGATCATTCTTATTCGTGTAAATTTATGTGTAAATTTATTTCCACACACTACTCTCTCTCCATAAAATATTCCTTATAAATCGGATTTAGGTCTAGCGATGAGATTATGCGCGCGTCCAAAGAAAATATCAATATCAATTTATGAGATTTGATATACTCTTGCTGTTTCATTCCATTTCGATTAAATTTACGCGACTATGGTCCGTTTTTACCAACGTAGATTAACCTTAATCTCGGTTCAACTGACTCTTCATCTTTTTCTTATTCTTAAAACTAGAAAAAGGTGAAGAGTTAGTTGAACCGAAATTAAAGTTAAACTGTATTGATAGAAACGGACATGTCTGTCCTTTATTAACCTCTAAAATACGATTCACAATAGTTATGAATGAAGTATTCACATTTTTTTGTATTTAAGCTGATACATATAATAGATTGATACAGGCTTTTTACACTCGATTTGCTTGGCCAGGATTGTTATTTTGGTATTAGTTATTTTGATATTGGTTTAGATTTTAATTGTTTATCAAAATTTGTTTTTTTCATTACCATTATTCAAATAAAGTAAAATTGAAAGAAAGATAGATCAAACACGTGCTTAAAAAAATAAGATGATAAAGTTTATTTAGAGATATTTTGTGTGTGTGTGTGTGTGTGTGTGTGTGTGTGTGTGTGTGTGTGTGTGTGTGTGTGTGTGAGAGAGAGAGAGAGAGAGAGAGGGAGATTTTATAATTATTAATAAATGAAACGTTTCAACGTTTTATTTAGTCATCCTCCATTACAATAATAAGAGTAGTTGTGTAACATTAAAATATTATTATAACAAATTAAATATTGGAAACAACATAGAAAATTAATCAACGAAACCATATGAAAGGTTGGATACTACAGTAAATAAATTATAAAAATTAAATCTTTTTTATGTAATAGTTGTCCAAACTTTCTTCATTTAAAGATGAAAAAAAATGGATCAGAGATCAAACGGATGAGAGAGAGAGAGAGAGAGAGAGAGAGAGAGAGAGAGAGAGAGAGAGAGAGAAGAGAGAGATTTTTAAAGTCGTAAGATAAATGAAGTCAATGGTCAATAAAAGTTTTGAGATATATCTATAATAAATAAATATAAATAAATTAAATTAAAAGTATTGCACCGGGAGTCAATGTTTAACAAATTTACTTAATTTTTCAATATGAATTCTATAGATAGAATCTGTAGAGAGGTATACCCAAAACAGTGAGAGGACTTCTTGTCAAAGCAAAAGCTTGTCGATAAATGATGGAAATTGAAAACATGTATATATTGTTATGTATAATATAGGATATACAAAAGGTCGATATAAATTAATGTTGTGAAAATGAATCTAATAAGTAAAAATAAGAATTATTTGTCTCTCAGTGTCTTCCTGTAAATTAATTTTATTTCTTTGTTTCTTTATATATAACAATATGAAATTAATCTTTTACTATAATTACTTTCAATATCTAAAATTTTTGTGTTATCTCAATTAAATGAATAATTAAAATTTAAAATATGTTCCGTAATTACTGAGTGACATTTAATTTTATATTGTTTCTATGTTCTTTTTTTCTTATTTTTAACTATCTCTTAGTTTGTCCTACGTAAGACATCTCACAGCCATTACAATGAACCTTATAAAAGACATTACTTCTTAAATCAATTTCAGTTACATCTTTATGTACTTTAATAAAGTTATTTTATTTATTTAAGCTTTTGTAGCCAATTTTTAAAAATGATCTTATCTAGACAATCTATTACTGTTTCCGTAACATTATGTATGGAAGTACAAAATATTTCGTGTTACTATTGAGTTCTGTATCAGAAATATCTTCTTTTTATTTTGTATATTTAAATAAAACTTCTTAACCGAGATTCAATCTTCTTAAAAATTAATTTCAGAGGATAATCATTTTCTAAGAGTAACTGAATGTAAAGTTCAAGATTCTCCCCATGAAAAATCGTATGAGATAATAAAATTGCTTTATCAAAATGGTTCTGATTTTGTGATAAATTGGATGGATTAGAATAAAATGATATAAATCATCCCGAAAAACTTTTGTGTGGAACTAATTAATAATGATTTTATCATTTTTGACATTCAAGGAGAGATCCAAAAAATTTACATCGATTCTCTTCCCTTTCTATCCTGAATTGTAAGCGTTCATGAAAATTGTTAAAAGTATTAATGATATGATTGATATGTTCGGAAGGTGCCGCCATTACAATGTAATCTGCATAACGATGATAAAATGTTAATTCCAAATTGAAGGCTTTCAATGTTTTTTCTTCTAAACTAAGTTCATTCAAAACTAAGTTCACGATTATGATAAAGGTGATTTCATAAGAGTGCCATATAAGTTCGTAAATAACGCCATTGAATGTAAAATAGATGGACGATAGTATATATAAATTTTACAGTAGAAATAAATTCAATGAATGGAATGCATATTTTATTTTCTATTCGATCTAATTTTTAGATTCTGTATAGCTAAGTCCAAATAGATGTTAGTGAACAGAGATGTTGCATCCAACGAAATCAAAATGTCATTACTACTCTTAATTTTTTTACCTGAGAGAGTTTTGTATAAATCAAAACTATTTTTAACTTATTTGTTATCAAAAGTAATGTCAGATATAATTTGATAAATATATTTTGCTAAAGAATAAAGTGCTGTATTAATCGATGAAACTATAATTCGGAAATGTTTTCTTTGTGGATCTTAGGGAGTGCATAAGCTTTTGGTAAAATGGAATTACTAGAATGTATAGAAAATTACGTTTTTTTGGATATATGTCTGAAACTATTTTTTTTACTATGGAATTCGTTTTATTTTCAATATTTTTGATAAAATTCTTTGAACTGTAGTATGAGTAGTATTATCACTTAGCATCTCCTTTATTTTATTGTTATAATTATCCTTATTTAGGGCAATTGTTACGTTGCCTTTATCAGCCTTGGTGAAAAGGATTTGATTTATAGAA